ACGGCCTCATCTAAGTTTTAAATCGCGTGCTGGCGGCGGTCTACGATACACGACCGGCCTTGGACGAAGGATGGAGGAAGGCAGGGCTCGTCGCCAATTTATGTATATTGGGCCGAGATTTGCATTCACGCTAACTATTATACTCGACTCTTTCTCAATTCTAACGACGACAGCGAGTCCCTGTCACGTAAATATTTGTTAATATACTAGTATGCGTAAACTAGTCTGTAATAGCGGAGAAACCTTTTATTTAGTTAAACTTGCCTTGGAATAAAATCTATGTTAAGGCTGCGTGAAGATGTTAAATAAACAAAAATTAGAGCGATAAAAGTCAAACTGTCAAACAATCTTCTTAGATGCAAACAGTCTAATTGCTTTGCTAAGATTGATTTTACTTATTAAAATTCCTATATTATCTAACATTAGAATCAAAACTTCTAAAAATCTCGCGTATTTAAGGATATATCAGGTGTACAATTTCTGCAAAAAATAACTGGGATTCGAAATTCATATTTTTCGTATAAAAATATTATATACATGAAATAATTCAATAAAATTAATATTTATATTTAATAATTTTAATAATTTTAGTTTACATAAGAATTTCCTTTTTTTTATCTTAATTATATTTTATAAACATAACTATTTCTTATTAAAATAATTTTTGATCTAGGTTCTAAATTACCGCCAATCTTTTTGTATTATAATTTTCACGTATAATATAGAAATATATATAACTTTCTTCATTTTGTAAATAATTTTTTCATTTTGTTATAAATTTTGTTAAAAAATCACTGTTTTAAAAATAAAACATATTGAATGGCAGGTTTATTTTCGCGAATAACGTTTTCGAATATAATTTAATGAAATTAAGATCTTAATTAAAAAATTCACTGAATGTGTAAAAAAAGTGTTAAATTATATTTAAACAATTTATTTAAAATAGAACTAATAAATAAGAACATAAAAAAATATAACACGAATCTCTCAACCATGAATACGTTGTACGAGTGTGATGTTAAAATAAAAGTTGTTCCTAAAAAGTTTCATACGCCAGAACGAATGAGTGTAACGCATTTCCCGGTAATGCCATTAGCTTTATCAGTTGCCTCGTGGTCTAGCTATTTCATCGACAGGACTCTCCCGCTTTAGCATTCCCTCTCCTCTCTCGTGCTTTCACGGAGCAAAAGTGAAATCAGATAGATATTGACGAGATGGAGCATCGAACTGACTCAATGAGATCGACGAGGCGTACGATACAAGTTACGGCAGGACTTTCCTCACACTTGTGTTTACGTTCCAGGCACGAACATGTTTTACAGACTTACGGTCGCAAACTCGCCCTAGATCGTCAACATTGGTAGATGGTACCGAAAAACAGAAGCTTTTTAGGCTGTTATCAAATTTATGAAACACGCAAATGGTAATTTTTCGCGTGATATGATACGAGCATGTGCGTACATCATCAAGCATTATCAAACGCGAAAACTTAATAAAACAGTAATAAAATAGTCAACCTGTACTTTGCCGTGCAGAGAGAACATACTCTGATCATACTTTGCAAATGGTGCTGTTCTAAATTTCCGTCCTTTACTTTTGTTCGGCCTACGAAAATCGTCCAAGTGTGCGCACAGCACGATCGTGTACGCTCATCAGTAGGATGCACGTGGGCGTGGACACGAACTTGTGTATACCCACGTATGTGCACCGTACGTGGGAGTCGAATTCCGAAATGGCGTCATGTACGTCCGCCAGCGCGCGCGTTCACGCCCGATAGTATCTCCAATGTGGGTCACACACATAGAACGGAGAAGTCCAGCCGCTACGAGCCGGAAACTCTGCATTCAAAGCCGAATGGAGGACTTCCGGTAAAGAACGAGAGAGACGAAGCAAGAAAAGAAAGAGAGAGAGAGAGAAAAAGGGGGGGGGTGGAATTAGGGATAGGTTTCGAGATAGAGATAGCAGCGAGCTCTGATATCTCAACTCCATTTCTAGGCTTCTAGTTCGTGCTACGAGTCGCGAACAAATGTGTCATGAGTCCGACTTCCTTTTCTTTTCCCTCTTTTTTCATCCGTCGACCCTACTCCACTACCCTCGATCCTTCGGAACCACGTCGTGTCACCTGAGGGCCAGGCATATATTCTCTGCCGGCTGGGATCGACCAAGTTTTCCAATAAATTTCTATATCCGCTGGATGCATCTGCAACGGACGACCCGGGACCGTCTTATTATGCGACCATTCGGTGATGCCGAATTTCCCTCCTATCTCGATCCCTCCGTCGTCGATGATAAGCGGCATCGGTTCTCCCTGTAGACGATTGCTCCATTGCAGACTTCAGTGTTCCGCGTACTTCAGTATGCACGTTTGACCGTAACAAGGAATTTGATTCACCGTAATGGAAAGACGTTATCGTGATCTTCATGCGTGATATGATTCACTTGTTTTTATTGTATTAAAGTAATCCGAATTATGATTACAGATCAAAGTATCAACAGCAAAATCTACTTCTTGCTATTATACTATTTGCAATTTAAACACAAAATCGAAAAATGATAGTATTTGACAATTATTTCTACTACCATGTTTATCATTTCACTTCTTAAATTTAATTATATAATATCACATATTGTAAGAACTTACAAGTATTTATAGATACTGAAGAAAAACATTTTTTTAGATTTCTATTGTCTACTTATAAATTATGAATATATCACTAAGAGAACAATGATAATAAAGACATATTAGTAAAATATTTAATTAGCTTGTCGAAAATAATTCTCATTATTTAACTTAAAATGGTTAAAGTGGTAATAATTTTATTTTAGAGCTATAACGATTCTAATTAATTTTACGATACAGTTTTAGCTCGAAAATGAGATAGCTGAAAATTTCCAACTTATTAACTACTATTTTATTCTGCTTATTAGAATCATTTATTATTACTTTCTTATGACGAGCCATTTAGAGCAACCGCGCCGGAATTGGAATCGCGCATGTATTCTATTTGCCAGCTCTCCAAACTCGATGAATCATCGTAATCGAGATAAAGAAACCCGCACAATAATACGTTCTAAATATTTTTCAAGGACCAATAAAAGCTAATTAATTGAAATTCTTGTATTAGAGAAAGAGAGAGACAGAGGTGAATCTCAGTTTCTAACCACATAATTGTTTCTTATCGAAAAGAATATTATCGAAGAAAATTTACGATATTGGCATAGTTTGACATTAATTATCAAGAAATTAATTTATAGAAAATAAATCAAGAAACATACGACAAATTCGATAAATTTCATTTAATTGAACTAGATACCTTAAAACAAAAATACTTTACAAATATACTGTAGCTTTAACTTTTCAAACCATTTTACACGACATATACGTAAAAAAAACAATCTTTGATTTATGAAAGATAAAACAAAAGTTAAATATACAATTTCACAATAATTAGATTAACAAAGCATAACTTTCTGTAATCCATGAACAAGTTAGGCAACCAAAGCAAATGAAATCATTCGCACGTGAATAATATTATGTCACGCATTTTGAAACAATCCAAATAGCGATACCTCGATATCACTGTTATGAGCCATAACGATCAAAATTCATGGGAACTGCAGCGAGGCAGAATTGTCGTCGCGCGCCGTTGACGTCGTGTAAATGGAAATGAGTGCACTTGTTCGTCCAAAAATCAATAGCGTTCCGCGCGAAATGGCCAATAAAATATGCAAAAGTACTAAACAATGTAAATCCCATGAATCACAGTCGTCGACAGTACCGCTCGATTTTGCGACACGAGAGGAAATGGTGAGGATGTGCGATACATCGATAATGTAACCAACTAAAATGATAGTCAATGATATTGTTCATGTTGCAGCAGAAAGTAGCGATATGTTACATAATACTGATACAATCAATTTTATATGGAATATTTTACAAATTTGAAACAATATATATGAATAATGATAAATATGGCTCTAATATATATGAAACCTCACAAAAAGATTTCTTGGAAAATTTTCTTGTTAGACTTTAACGTTGCTAATTATATACGTGTATTAAACATATATGTGATACATTCAAAAATGTTATATTATTTAATACAATTTATCAAAAAATTATTCGTCTTTTTTTTATATTTGCGCGATATCTTTATTAAGTAGTACACCTCAATTTTGGGCATCCTTACTACACACGTTCGGTCATTCGTGCTCTGGATTAATTTTCATTTTTACAAATAAATAAAAATTATTAAACGATTTTTATATTTTGATATCTTTAGAAAGTATTTGTAAAGTTGTATATTTATAACAAATTGTATAATATATAAATTATATTATAACTAAATATAGTTAACAAAATGAGAAAAATGCACTTTCAAGTATCGTTCAAGTATCGTTCGGCTGTCCAAAAAATTTAGTTATTTAGTAACCTGAAAACGATGTTTTTTTATATGCATGAATAGCCATAAATTGAAAATATATTGCATTTACATTTTAAGCAATACATTTTATTATTGCTGTTGTGTTAAAAAGACTTATAATTTATTAGGAAAATGTTTTTTTATAACATTAGAGACAATACAGGTAATATATAATATTACCTGTATTGTTAACAAATAATATTTATCACAAAAGTACCAAAAAAAAAAACAATGTGTTTATTAAGAGCTAATATATATGTTGTTCTAGGATTAAATTTTTTTTTTAATAATTCGCAAAATATTCTCGCGATACAAACGAGTATTAGTTGAAAAAAGAAAATAAAGAAAAAAATAAAATTTTTTTAGTTACAAAAATGTACACTCTATACACACGATGGATCATTTGTGACCCAGAGGGGTAACTTTGGAGTTAACAATATGCACGAATTGAGGCCAGCAATGCACAAAACTTGTTTTCTAGATGCCAAACATTTTTTAGGAATAAAAAAGAGATCAGTATTTGATCAGGTCTTAGTTATTTCAAAGAAAAGAAATGCGCAAGACACGAATAATCCAAAGGTGTGTATTAAGGGTTAAACAAAGTCCGTTGAGTTTAACAATTTTAACTTTACAATGAGAGGCAATGTAATAATGACGTAAGTTTTTATACTTACCGGACCGAATTGTTCGAAGTAATTTTTGACGTCCTCCAGCGTCGTCGGCGCCGATAATCCCCCGACGAAGATCTTCTTTGTCCTTGTCACCATCTATAAAATATCAAAGAAAAGAGGACCATTACTTTTATATCTTAAAATGATTTTTTTTAAAATTAAGATAATACAATCAATTTTTATATAATAAAAAAGTGAATACATTTGTTACTATGATTATTACACACTGAATACTGCGCTTTTTTACTCTTATTTGCAAACATTCGTTTTCATAGTTTTAATTGAAAGTCCTAATATTTTATTTCTTATTTTAAGATAGTACAATTTTTTTCTTTCGAAAAATAAATAAAAAATAAGCAGTAACACGACTAACAATGTGTGTTCCAGCAAAGGAAATAAAATTTTCAACGCAATATGATCGTATACTAAAGAAATTGATAAAGAATTTATCAAATATAGATGATTTGTGTCTCGATGTACTATGACATTTCCAGGTAAACTCCTCCACTAGCGGTGTTCTTGCTTTTAGTCTTTCATATTCCATACCTGTCTGGTTATCGACAGAAAAGTCGTAAATAATCGACACAGGTGCATTATTAACAGCCGAACTTATGCTTCAATATAACATATCAATACATAAACACGAAGGAAAAAACACTCATGTTTTTATAAAATTTAGAAAATACGAAAAAGAACATACAAGATTTTCTCTTTTTGTCGACTAAGAACTTTATAAAGGAGAAAGAGAAAAAAAGTGGAAGGATAGAAAGTGTTACCAGAAATTATCAGATCATGTTTTAAAGAATGAATGCTGAGAAGGACGTTAAAGGTCAGGGTCAAAATCGGAAGAAATGTTATTAAGCGCTTGTTTATCGCAGATTCATATTGAATGTGTGTGCTGTGAATCGAAAGAAGCGCGAAGAAGTGTCGTGCAACATCGGGATAAACAACGCTCGTTCTTTTAATGTTGTTCACGGCGAATCCGAAACGCTCCTACATCTGATGCAATTACAAACCACATTACAAACTTGACATCTTCAATCTCCGATATTCCTTGCGTCTCCCGTCAGATATTGAACGTTACTACCCACGCATCGGGAACTATGGCGGATATCAGTGTGGTATGATAATATAACCAATGAATTAGAAATGAAGATCACGAGAAATTCGATCAATATTTAAGGACCGTCTATTCGATCGCACATATACATACGTATCATGCTCATATACTTGATGATGAAGCAATAGAATATACCAAGAAATAAAAATTTTCAATAAAAATGTTCATATGACACGATATTTTTGTAAAAAATAATTTTGCAAAAGTAACAATTTAGGTAAATATATACAGATCTGAAATAACTTTATTGGACTATTAAAATAATTATATAAGAATCTCGAGCATGATGAGCAATGCTGTAAAAAGCTTTGACATTTCAGCAATCAGTTTCTTACATAATTATTTTGATGTTTCCAACAGATTATTTTTAAACTTAGCTAAACTTTTCAAATACCGATATTTCAAAAACCGTTTTTTCGTCTTTTTCGTATAGGAATCTAAAGGAACCTACATTCAACTCTATTAAATTCAAATTATAGCATATAGTAATCATTTTTAAACTATATGATTTAGGTGTTCCAATAAAAATTTTCTAATGAATTGTTAAGATACATGTATCCTCCTCCGTATAATACCTACGGTAGTAAAGTTAGATCTCAATAACTCAAATTTACTTTAACTATGATTTAAAAGAATGCTATTTTGTGGCAAGAAGTATCTAAATCATAAAGTTTAAAAATGATTGCTATATTTTATAATTTGAATTTAATCAAGCTATATGTAGATTCCATTGAGTTCTTATAATTAGAAAAAATGCCGTACAAAATCGTATTGATAATACCAAGAACTATAATACAACAAATAGTGTCACAAAAACTGAAGTTATAAATATACATTACTCTATTTTTATAACTCTGAAGAATGTTTATTAAAAAATAATAACAATTAATCTAACATATTATATGTATATCAATTTAAAATTAAATAACGCACGCAAAATAGTTTTCTTCTTCATCATTACATAATTATATACGAGATAGTATTTTCTTGGGTATAAAATGTAATATTTTCATCTCTTGGTGTGTCTGAAACGTCTAAATTTTAATATTTGGCTTTTTCAAAAACATCTGTAATTTTTATTTCCTTACTTCTCTTTAACAGAATTTTGTAAATTTTATAATATAAAGCTAAATATTTGTGAAACTCTCTTTTCTTAGCACTTTTTTCAATGAAAGAATTCACATTCAAAAATAAAATTTTAATTGCTCGGCTAAGTTTATACCTTTTTATATATTTTTTAGAATACAATTTTAAATTTACTTCATAATTCTTATTTGTATTATTGTTCTTTGATGATTTACATGCCAATTTCAACCAAATGCTTCATCAACTTTTTTATCTACTAATAATTCTTGAATATATCTATCCTTCAGTCATATCATCAAGACCTCAATTCTTTGTTAGAATAAAACGTGTTGTAGAGATATCGTGTTATACGGAGGATATCTGATATAAAAATTAGAAGAAGTATTTTCATCATTTATTTACATAATAAATATTTAAAACCCCTCATTTTTATTTCTTTATTTAATGAATTATTCGTTTCATTTGTACGTTTTTGCGTGTTTACATGGCGCACGCATGCGTGTATGAATATATTTGCATAAATAAAAGTTTGAAGAAGAATTTATTTATAGCACTTGATGGATCAAGTAAAATAGAAACAATAGCATAATAACTATAATACAATCATTAATATTGGGATAAACATTGTGAAATAATTTGATAAAGAGAATTCATCGATTTTCCTCCGTGAAATCAGCTCCGACAAGGTAGATTAATATGAGAAGCTTAAGGAAGTTGAAAGGAGAAGAGCTCAGAGAAAGACCGATACTTTTAGTCTTGAAATCTTGATAATACAATCGCATTGTAATAAAGCCGCGGGCGAACGAGCTGGAGAATGAAAGGCAGGAGTCGAACATTTTACGGGCGGAAGTTCCATGCTGAGAAAAGGAAAGCACGATCAGAGTAGAAAGAAAGATGGGAGAGGAGGTAAGATGGAGCGCGGCGGAAAGGGCGGAAGAGGTAAACTCTGGCAATTTCAGTGATGGCTGGGCTTAGACATCTCTATATCCGGTGAGTAACGCAAACCCCGGGAGGACGCGAGTCCTTCCACCCTGCGCGCTCCTGAACTCGAACCTTCCCCGCTCTCCGTCTCTAACCCTTCTTCAAAATCCCATGCAAACTCGCAGCTTTCTTCGTTCCGACGTCCTTGTCTAGAAGGGAATGAGAGAGGCAGGTTTCTTTCGCGAGGTGGGTTAATCAACGAAGTGTATAAAGTCCTGAGAATAAAAATAAAATGGCAGGATCTCTCGAAAATTAAATAAACGATTCGCCTCGATTTCGTCGGTGAGAGGCTCATAGCAAGGAGAAAATAGCAAAGAGAAAGAGGGAGAAAAATACTCAGGAATAAAGAAGGATGTTATCATGAATGGACAAGGTATGGAGAGAAACGATGGAAGAAGGCGAACTTTTAACCAAGGAGGCCACTTATTCCAATGAAACCGCTCTGCAGCTTCCTCTCTTCTTCTTCAGTGAAAGCAGGATTTCGGCTTTCCTCATATTCTCCACCAACAAACGAAATCTAGTTTTGCATTTTGCCAACCGCGTAATGAGCACATTGTTGTGAAAACTAGGTAGACTTCTGTCCAAATTTCCATTGTTCCCATTTGTTATACAGGACAAACAGTTTTATTAACAGTTCGAAACATAAAATAATTCGATAAGTGAGTCAACTAGTAACCTTAATTTTGTTCTAAAAAATCAAGGTGATATAAGGATTACTAATTAATTCACGTACCTATATAATAAAAGGAGTACTGTTTGTTGATTAATTATTAATATCATGTACATCAGAATACTTGGAATTTTTAGAATTTTGTCCAACTTCTGTCTCATGTATAAACAAGTATACATGCAAGTTTATTTTTTTCTCAAGAGACAGAGACAATACCCTCTTTTGCATTTTTAATTATCATGCGATATGAATAGAAAACAGACAGATGCTCCAGCTGTCGATCATCGTTCGCTTCTTACGTGCGTTTAATAAATCCATACGTTTGGCTTAGAATAACAGAGAGAATCAACTTATAACTGCTAGCGGTTGAATTTTAGCGGAGCAGAGGCGCGACGCGAACAAAAGATGGAGTCGCAGACGACGGAGTGGGCCGCTTCTCGCCGTGGTTAGCCCGACGAAGAATAAGATGGAAAAATACAAGTCACGAGAAGAACGCGGGGGAGAGCAGGATCCCCTCGGGTCGTTAGCAGAGATAAGTACGGATAGCGGCGGAATGGTAATGGAAACTCGGCGAGTTCCACTTATTACGCCGTAGCATTATGTAAATACCGGAAGGCTATTACAATTTTACAACTTACTAGGAGTGGCTTTATAGTTTCATCGCTCGAGGGAGGAGGTGGGTGAGAGGGCCGCTTCAGCCCTCTTTACCGACCTCCTTGCTTTCCTCACTCGATACGCGACCACGTACATGTTTCTAGCTCGCCTTTAAAGTTTCCGCGTCTACGAAAATGAAATCGCCCCTTAGAAAGGAAGATGGGAGCTATCTCTTGCGCGCGCTTTACTATTTGCAGAAATTTAATATTCATCTATAATTAAGTTCTGCTCCGCAGTCTAATACGACTCCGTAATGATGTAAGTTGTTGTTTCACATTAATTTTAAATATATCATGCCGCTGTAATCCATTAAAATCTACGCTTATAAAAGAAACGCAGAATTTGCAAAAATTGAATAAAATGGAAAAATGCATCGGGCGACCATCATTATCGCGCAAAGCGTCGCGTCGGGTTTTATATTTTATAGTAACAATTGGCTCGTGAAACAGAAACTTCTTTCTCCGACAAATCAAAATTATTGTGTAACGTAAATTACGAGCAAAAACATGAGATTCGTAATAAAAAGCGCGTTTAATGGCAACGCACAGTTTGACAAAAAAAAAGGAGATAGGAGAAGACAAGGAC